GGTTGAGAAATCTTGCCATCATTACATACAACATAAACAAGATGTTTTACTTGTTTTACATATAATCACTGATATAAGTGAACCACAAGAGCACAGAACTGTATCCATGCTATAACTTCAGCTATAAAAACATGCATATGTACCAGGACCACAGAGAGACAAAATACAAAGAAAGCAGATGTATTGTTTGGGAGGTGAAACTATGGGCAAGTATATAAATTTTAATTTTGAAAATCAGTTTTTCAACAAATAAAAATGGACAAAGTACTTTATGAGTAATATTAGAGAGGAAGGAGATAGATGAGAGGGTGAACAAAGAGAAATAAAAAGTATAGAACACAAACACAAAACAGCTGAGTTAGGCAAATAGGCCACCCACCTGACTGACACTCAGAAGCCTTTGAGATGTTTAAACAAAAATATAGCCCCTCACTATGAAATGACCCTTTTATCTCTGGTAATGCTCCTTATGTAATATTGATATAGCTGCAGCAAGTTTTTTATGCTTAGTATTTACATAGCATAAATTTTCTATTTCTTTCACTTTAACCTGCTTGTGTCTTTGTATTTTAAGTGTGTATCTCTTAAACAGCATAGGTTTGGGTCTTGCTTTTTTATCCAGTCTTAGACTCTGCCTTTTAAACAGCATGTTTAATCCATTTACATTTAATGTAATTCTTATTTTCTTCTTACCTCCTCTGTTCCCTTTTCCTTTGTTTTTCCTTTCATTTGGGTTAACCAAGTGTTTTTTAGTTCCACATTGTATCTCCTCCATTGGCTATTTAGCTATAACTTTTTTGTTTATGTTTTGTGATTGTGCTCATAATTAAAATATGCATCCTTATACAGTCTGCCTGGAATTAATATTATACCACCTCCTTTACAATGAAGAAACTTATAAAGTACAATTATCTTTACACCCCATTCCTGCCCTTGTACTATGTTGTTGTATATTTCACGTCTACATATATATTTACATTCCACAATACATTGTCATCATTTTTGCCTTAAACAATCAATTGGCTTTAAGGAATATAGAAAATAAAGAAAAACAGTATTTTCTAGTTAACATTTCTAGTGGTCTTCTACCTTTCTTATAGATTCAAATTTCCATCTGGTATAATCTCTCTTCCACCCAAAAAAACTCCCTTAGCTGGCAACAAATTTTCTCAGCTTTTATCTGAAAATGTTTTATTTCGCCTTAATTTTTTACCATGTTTTTATTATAATGGCTTTCAAACATATAGGAAATTTGAAAACTTTTATACCATATAATCACTGCTTAGGTTCTACATGTCAACAGATGTGCAAGGCATGCATCCCAAAGCCTCACTCCATTCCCTTCCAATGCTTGTGACCCCAAGTCTGTCACTGCAGCAGAAACTACTTGGATGTGGAGCTTACCTATGCTTGGCTAGCTTCTTAGCCTGTCTGTGTATCAGTTTTCTCATCTGCAAACTCAGTATAAACAATAACACCTACACTTTAGAGTGGTTCTCAGGATTAAACGAGTTGTTATTTGTAAAATGTGTAATGTGTAAGGGGATGTGCTAATCATTTCCTATCCACTTAAACTTACAACAACCCTTTGAGGTGTGTGCTACGATAATCCCTAATTAGCCAACGAGAAGAATAAGGAGGGTTAGACCGAAGAAGAAACTTACCCATGTCAGGCAACCTGTAAGTGAAAGAGCCTGAGCTCAAACCCGAGTCTGACTGGAACCTAATCTTGTACCTGCTCTGCAAATGTTCCCCAGACTTGCTGGAATGTAAGAATCCCCTGAGCACAGAGTAAAACCACAGATTCCCAGACTTAGCCTCAGACCCACTAAATCAGCTCTGTGGCAGGGCCTAGAAACCTATATTTTAGCACAGGCCCCAGGTGACTCTTATTAGAAAGTCTTGGAGACATTGTATAAGCTTTACCAATATTTATCTGTACACCTACCACTAAAGACAGCTGTCTATTTGTTAAAACAATGTGTGCTACATGACAGATCATGGAAACCCAGACAGGTACGTGTGTAGTTAATTCTGCAAAAGGTTTTCACTTGTAGAGCTAAGTGTGGGCATTCTGGAAGTACAGAAGAGGGACACTCAGCTCCCAGGGAGGGACTCCCAGAAGAAGCAGTGCCTGAGCTGAATCTCAGAAGAATTGCAGAAGTTATCCAGCACAGGAGGCAAAGGTATTTCAGGCCAAACTCACAGCACAGGCAAAGATACAGAGGCATAGGAATGCGCTTCTATGTTCAGGGGACCCTATTGTTCAGGGCACACATGTGCTTAACTAGCCAGAAACCTGGTGGAAATCTGGCAGAGACATATGTGGGGCCCAGGCCTGCAGAGCCACTGACTGAACTTGGTTTCTCATTGCCTGTGCCCATCTCTTGCTATTTCACACACTGTAAACACCAGAACTTTCAAGGGAACAAGGCCTGCATCTCTCACACCTTTTTTTCTCTCCCACCATCATACGAAGTTGGTGGAACGGGCCTCACCATCCCTGCCCCCCATCCCAGGCCAGGCCCTGTCCCTCACCCCCTTCCCTGTCTGAGAAAACCACTGTTACAGGAAACTCTCAATCACATCTTCCTATGGAACCCTCTGCTATCAGCACAGCATGGTTTTTCCTTCTAACTCAAAAACTGATGGACTTAACAAGTTCTGGCTACTTTTTAACAGCTCTTATGTAAAACTCATCAAAGATCTGATTCCCAGGAGACTAATAAGTCAGATGCAACATAGAAAGGAGCACGTAATGTTGGCCAAGTCTATCCAAGCCACGCCCTTTTCTCTCATTTTGAAGAAAGTAGGAAAATGACAATTGGATATCACCGGTGACCCAACATCTCTGCCCCAGGAAAGCCATAAGGAGAGTGCCATCCCCTTCCAGCTTTGAAATGGTTGCCTAGGCATGCTGGCAGACTCAGAGAAGATAGCAGGCACCCACTCCACTGCCCTCCCTGAGCACCAATAACAATGAGAGTAGACCCTTTCACAGCGCTCACTGTGTGCCAGGCACTAAGTACTCCGCATGTGTTAGCTCACTGAAGCCCTTCAACAGCTCTATGAGGAAGGTATAAGTGTAAGTGTCTCTAGTTTACAGATAAATAAATGGAGACACGGAGATTAAGTGATTTGCCCAATGCCGCACGCACTAGCAAGTGACAGAGCTGAGATAAGAGCCGAGAGAGTCTCTCTCTACTCTGGGGCCCTGGACCAACCTACCAGGTAAGTGATCACCAGACAACAGTAAATGAGAGCCAGTTATGACTTGTCTTGGTTGTTGGTGTCCGTCCCTTGGCCTCCTAGGTGGTCAGAATAGATGATGTGGCCAGGAGACCGGAGGCATGAAGGCCCCCACTGAGAGGTGAGTAACTGGCAAATGCCAGGCTGGAGTTTTGCCTCTTTAACAAGAGAGAGCCAGAAGCTAAAGGCATAAAAGGAATAGAGGGATTTCAGGTATGATCCAGAAAGTCTGAAAAGATTTGGAGTTAAGTGGGGGAGGGAATAAAGGTTTTACAAGGCCTACTGCCCGCATGGGCAGGCTGACAGCTGTGTTCCCCATGGCTGCCTATATGGAATTCTTTGATGTTCAGTTTAACTGAATTACATTTGCATTTACTGAACATCCACTATGTATTAGACACTGGATTATGTGTTATGAATAAGGCCTGGGACATAGTCCTCATGGAGCTCAAAGCATGGGGGGAGGAGGGGGTGTCCAGCAGACATGCCAATCAATGGCACTTGTTTGTATTAGAAAAATATTGGAAATAAAGTAAGTGTGCATGATATGGAAAGGGCTTCATTACATATTAAATGAAAAAAGCAAGGTATAGAATATAGTGTGTTACCTTCCACATAAAAATGGAGGAAAATTCGAGTATATATTAATGTTTGCTTATATAAGCACACCTGGAAGGCCACCCAGAAACCCAATAACAGTGGTTCCTGCGGTTGAGGTTGGAGGGCGGAGGGACTGGGCACAGGCTAAAGATGGAAAAGAAGAGTTTCACTTTATATATTTTCTTTATTTTATTTTGGAACTGAACATTAGAACTACTCAAAAATTAAATTAAAAAGTAGGTGTGATTATAGCCCATAGGAACAGTCTTAGCATTGCCTCTGCGTATGAAGAAAGCCCTGTCCTTCGCTGCCCATCCAGCCCAGCGCTGGGCCCCCGCAAGGCCGCGATCAGAGTGGGGGGAGAAGCAGCAGGGAGCGCGCTCGCCTCCCCACAGGGGAGGCCAGATTCCCGGCAGTCTGACCCCGAGCCACTCGCAGCCTGGAGGGCCTCGTGCCCGTCCCTGGAACCCTGGCTGCGTCCCCTCCCCATTAGCCTCCTGCCCCATCGGCAGCGCTGCAGGATGATTTCAAAGCAAACCCTGGGAGCCCGCTGGACTCTCAGCAGCAACAGAGGACTCTGAAGGCCATGAGCAGCTCAATGTTTTTGCTTCTTGCCTTTTCCTCTTTAATTACAGCACAATTTGCATTTATATGGCTTCATCCTGCCACTTTGTGGGCAGCGTTGATGATGATGGACACTCCATAACTTCCCATCCTGGCTGGAGAGTCAGGAGGGCGGCCGCCGTCTCCAATAAAATCCTTTCCAATTAAACAGTTCATTGGACATGTCATGGTTTGGGGTTCTCGTTATCCACCGATGTGCACGTCTCGTGGATATTTCTTCACACCCGTCATCGTGAGAAGGTCTTAGTGCAGAAGACACTCGGAGAATTACGCTCCCCCACTGAATGGCTGTGACGACACTGACCTGAAAACGCGCCTCCTGAGTTAGACTCGCACTAGAAGCCGAGCTCTTCTCCCTTCATTGCAGTGTCCTGGGCTTTACTTTCCCAGGTCTTGTGTCCAAAATGGTATCAGATGCTCCACAAGATGAAACATGGCAAAGATATTGACAGAATAACGTCGGACCTCTAACAGGGTCCATCTACCAGGGACCATGTGTCTGCAGGTTTCTCCAGTGAACCCCTCAGCACGTAGCCCCTGTTCTGGATGGTGTGGCTCTCCTGGCTGATGTAGCTCGCCTGGCAGCTCACTTGGCTGAAAAGACAAGGTCAAGAATTGCTTATTTACAACCAAAATCCCAGAAAGGAAACTCACCAAAATATAATGCTAGTTACCTCTGGGAAGTCTGATTACTGGCGTCTCTTTAATTTCTTCTCCATTTGTTTTTGTGCTCTCCATGTCGTTGGAGTTTTTAACCATTCAGTACATTTTATTTTTATAATAAAATAATTTAAAATAACACTTATAGCTAAAGAAGAGGGAAATAAGCAAATTGAAAATGTTATTTATTTACAACTGATTCTATAGTCACAACCATGACAAAGAGAAAGGGAAATAAACAATGAGAGGCCCTTTGATAGTGAGTGACTGGATCCTGCACTTTCAGGGCCACCTAACAAGCCTAACTATATCAGCCGCCCCATATTACCCCCACTCCACTCCACCTTAACCAACAAATGTAAACTTCAAGTGCACCAGTGCCAGCAGCAGCCACCCAGACCCCAGCACCGAGTTCCAGAACCACTCCCAACTCTTCCATGTCTAGCCTGACTCCTAATTGTTCATTCGGGCCCCCTTTACAAACTTCCCCCCATGCCACGTCCTGCTGCTAATTTTGGTTTTGACTCAGACACTGGTTTCTGGTCACTTCTACCCCAGGCCACCTCAAGAGCCACCCCCCAGCCCCAAGTACTGGCTCCCTGGTTGGCTGTCTGGCTTTTGTATGAAAGGATCATTTATTCTGTAGGTGAGCTTGTGCCAAATAGCTTGAGCCAGGCTGTCCTGGGACTCTAATTAGTGAGTTGCTTAGTCCAAAAAAGGGCACGAATGCAGCTTTCCTTAACTTCCCCCTCCAAATACTCATTATGGCTCTTCTTTAAGCTTGAGGCCTCTGTGAGGATTACCACAAGAAAGTGTTGCCTCAGGGGGAACCCTGGGGGAGAAAGGAAAGTTTGTGAGGGTTAGGCATGTCTAATGCTTTAGCATCCACCAACCCTGGGGCTGCCCCTCTCCCTGGACTTAAATGATACTTCAGTTATTTTTAATTAGGATAAAATGAAAGCTTTCAAAACCCTAGGTGACCAAGACTGGCTAGAGGGTCTCACAGGTCTTTTAATTCTGTCAAATGCAAAATCCAAGCAATATCTTGCTACAGCTTATATTCTACCCAACCATTTCCTTAGGAAGCAGAATGCTCCCTTCTCTTGAAGCCTTTGAACCCAGCTCTGACACGTCTTCCTCAGTGAGCGAAGCCAGTAACAAAGGGGTTGCCTGCAATTTTGAGCTGAATCCCACAGGCCCAAGCAAGCTGTCGAGGAAAAGGCAAACTTCAGTGTCATGACCCTTTGCATTCCCTTTCTGGTCAAAAATTGTGGGTTCAAAGCAAACTCCAATTGCAACTTCCTTTCACTTTATTTGGGGGTCAAAGGAACCCATTTCTCTTTAATTCATTTATTTTTGTAGGGCGGTAAGAGCCAAATACAAATTCCTTTTGATATAAACCACATATATATCAAAAGATTAAATAAGTGGGATTTCCAACCAAAGGAGCTTTAAACAGCGGAATGAGTGCCATGTTCTCCCTCCCTCAGTGTGGATATGCATCCAACCTTCCAAGCCAGGGTGCGGTGGTTTGGACCTCCCTTAGTTAAAGACAAGAGTCTAAAATTATCAGTGCTATTTGTTCTTACAAGAATGAAAAATCATATATGGCCATCTCAGGAGTTTCAGGCCCCATTTAAGGACTCAACTAAAGAGCCCACATAAAACTAAAGACAGCCTTTGGCTACTGCAGGCACCAACTGTCATTTACCTCTCAGTAGACATCATGATTTAAGCAAAAATCTCATATTTACTAAGTATCTGGTGCAAATGACGTGCATGGCATGTTCCAAAGTAACAAATAGAAATTTGCTTATAAATGAACAAGAAAGTCACTTGTAGCCCTTTTTGTGGAAATCCAGCCTTTGTATGTCTCTGTGGCATACTCTACTCAAAGCCCCACTCACCAGCAGGTTCTGTTCACCATTGCAAAAGCATAAATAAAGCAACTCTCGGGCAGCACACTCCAATGCCTTAGCAATACCTCTAAAAACACAGTTGTCTGGAAATTCCAGTGCCAACCAAATGAGTTAAGCCCACCTTACCTCTCTCTCCCACTGGTTACAACTGAAAATTTAGACAAAATGAAAAAAGCATCTACTTTCAGACTCTGAAAAGTTAACAAGAGTAAGTAGATTGGAGAAGGGAGCCAACACTTACAGAATGATCCGTATCGGTGAGGGAAGATTCCTGGTGTTTCCTCTTTTTCCTTCTGACTTTGACCCAAGGGTGGTGCCACCACAGGACTATGCAGCAGACAGGGGTCCTAAAACACAGAGAGAGCAAAACAGAGCAAAGATGTGGGAAAGGGCTGGAGGGAGTTAAGAGAGCGTGGAAGAAATCTCAGAGAGGAGAGAGCTGGGAAAGGGGTCCCTTTATTCTGCCACAAGTCCCAGGATAACCCCTAAGCTGTCTGTGCACAAGATCAACCCAAAGCACATAGCCGAGGCCTTGGCCAGTAAGGCTCAGTTGGTTGGGCGTCATCCTGTGCCCATGTGTCACAGAGGCACGAGTTTGGAATAGACCCAAAGCAGCATAACAAAGGCTTTGAAAACCAGATTAACATCGGAATCGCTGCCTATGTGATGGCAAGAGGTAAACTTGCAGCTTGAACCCAATCAAACTGATTGCCTGCTAAATGATAGAATCAACATTCTGCAGAGAATGTAACAAGACCCAAAGATTCATGACACAGTGTCCCAAATGTCCAAAATTATTATAATAAAAAAGCACCCAACCTACAAAGAAGCAGGACAATGTGATCCATACCAGACAGATCTTCCATCCTGAACCACTGCAGAGCGTCCCACCCGGCTCACCCTCCTGTGCACAGTGACTGTCTTAGCTCAGGCTTCCTAAAAGCAGAGCTGAAGATGGGGATTCTTGTTCAAGTGATTTCTTGGGGGAATGTTTTCATAGGGGAGATGAGGAAAGTGGGGTGAGGCAGAGGAAGAGACTGGCAAAGCCGAGGGCTAAGCTTGATCTTTCAGGTAAGTTCAGGGGCCCTGGTTGTACCAGAGCTGGTCCCACCTTGGGGCAAAGTAGATTGCCTCCTGTGACTGTCGGCCATTGGCTCGGGAGTAGCGGGGCATGTTGTTTTGCAGGGAGAGTGGCTCAGTTTGGCCAAGGACAGTGCTTTAGAAAAGGGGACAGCTGGTGAGCTGTGAGCTGTTAGCAACAAACGCTCAGAAGCTGGGAGATGGCACCAAAACGAACGAAAGATTTGGGCAGACCACCAACGACATCACTATAATGACCTTCCCAACAAACTTATCTGATTTCATCATGTCTTTAATTAAAACAGTCAGATGATTCTAACTGCACTGGGCTGTGGTGGAAGCATGGAGCCCAAACTGTCTCCAACTGCATATAAGACCATCATAGTCTAGTCCAAATTAAATCAGCCTTCCTAACACCTCTCTTTCTCTCTCTCTCATTCACAGAGGTGAAGCAGGCTAGTGAGTGGAAGCAATCGCCTCATGCAGAAAATTCCATTTCCTAATCCATTCATTTTCGAGTGATCCAAACTGCCTCTGTGGGTTGATCACACAAAGCTGACGAGAGCATCCCCTCCTCTAAAACTTTAACCCTGAAGATGCTGTCACTGAGGCCCTGCTTTCTTGCCTCCATCCCTTAAGGGCTCGGAGAAGGTGGCCTGACACGTGAATGGACCATCAGGCTGCCAGGTGTGACATCCCAGCTCGATGCCTTTATCCCATATGTCTAATTGGGCTTCACCACGATCTCAGACTTCTCAGGAGGATGGGAGCTAACTCAGCCTGAAGGAAATAAGAAGTCACTGTCAGCTGCTGTCCCTGGGACACAGGACCATTTCAACATGCTGATCCCAGAACACAGCCTCACACAGGGACATTGGGCTGGAAGCAGAGACAGTGTCACCAAGCACAGCCACCATTTAAAGATGACAATATTGCCCTGGCGGGTGTAGCTCAGTTGGCTGAGCATCATCCTGTGCACCCAAAGGTGCCAGTTTGATTCCCAGTTAGAGCATATGCTGGGTCACAGGCTCAGTCCTGAGTAGGGGGTGTGCAGCAGGAAGCCAATTGATGTTTCACTCTCACATCAATGTTTCTCTCTCTCTCTCTCTCTCTCCCCTCCCTTCCTCTCTCTCTAAAAATCACTTTTTAAATCTTTTAAAAAATAAGTAAAAATAAAGATGACAATATGCCATGCTGGTGCCCTGCATCAGGGAGGAAAGATTTGTCCTCCAGGTGCTGGCAGAGCTGGTCACTCAGCCCAGCACCTCTGGATCAGATGCCTACCCAGAACTACCCAAATTTAACAATCACAACATCCCTGTCCCAAAGTGTGGTTCATGAATCCTCCTGCCACACCATGCAGTAGGTACTGTTCTGCCCTTTTCACAAGATGGGAACCTGAGGCTTCAAGAGATGAAGCTGCCTGCCCAAAGCCACCTGCTAGGGCCTGAGATTCACATCCAAACCCATTTTTCTCTCTACCATTCTACTCTAGAGAGAAGAAAACAGAACAGAATAGGAAACGGAAAGGCTCAGGTGAGCAAGACTAAGCCCACGTAGTTCCTCTTAGCCCAGGCAAGAAGGAGACATTGACACGGGGTTCTAGTGACTCCATCACTGCCTTTTCCATGTTCTTCCTGAAGCAGAGAGGAGAGGGGGTCTCTCTGCAACACTTTGGGAAGGGGGCCAAACCACAGGAGGAGAGCAAAGGTGCAGAGTGCAGAAGGAATCCATCCATCAGTGTAGTCACAGCAGGAAGGTGGAGGAGAGGAGAGTGGGTGACAGGTAACAGGAGTGTGAGGTGGAGCCAGATGGTAAGGGGTGAGGAGGGGAAAACAGAAATCTTTGATAGAGGCCAACAGGGGCTTTAGAAGTGGGGATGCTGACCACTGTTCTGCTCCTATCACCCAGTATGGAGCCCAGCTCACAGAAGACAATAAATGAATAAGTGAGTAAATAAAGGGAAAATTCTGGAGATAAAAATCAAGGTGTGGCTGCCGAAAGCTATTCTGCTGAGATAAATCCCATTTATCACACCATTTACCAGAAAAAATTTTTCTCCTCTAAACCAGCAGGCCTGTCCTGCAAGTCAGAGCCAGGCCAGCTGCTGGCTCAGGAGTCTGTCGCCTGCCTCCTGCCACCCTTAATGAGATGTGATTGCTGAAGGGAAGCAGCTAATTGCATGATGTTTTATTAATCCTCTCCCCATGAAATATTAATTGCAAACTTTCAAAAATACAAAGATCTGCCTGCTTTTTAATGGCTCAGGTTTGCGATCTCCCAGATGAATGTTTGAGAGTTTCCTGCTGAGGGACAATGGTGACAAGCATTGGATGCCAGATCCTGTAGCAGGAGCACAGCTGACAGCCCAAAACACAAGGGGATGTAAGGACTGCCTCCCTCAGTGAGCCGCTCTGCCCAGCAGTCAAGCTTCTGTCCCGGGGGGTAGGAGGGGGAGCGTGGCTACCTGGTGCTGTGCAATGAATTAGACTAAAGATTTATGTTAAAATATTCAGCCCACTATGGACCAAAAAGATGTGGGACACCTGCAAGAGGAGATCATTAGCACCAACATAGCAAGGATTGTATTGTGAGACTCACCTCTTCCTTCCCCTCTTTTCCCTGAGACTGGTTCACCTTGGGGGGGTGGGGCATCAAAGAGAAACACAAGCCTGAAAGCAGGTGTGTTGACTGAATTCCAAGGGTGGCGGTTCCTGGAAGCAGGAGGGAAGAGGCAAGAGGCTGGCTTCCAGGGATGGAGTGGGCCAGGTGGGGAGACCTTTATGAGGACCCTCAACTCACTGCCCACATAGTCCTGGAAGGCTGCAATGGGATGCCTGCTAGCCTGGAGCCAAGACCCAAGCATGGTATCCCCACAAAGGGGCTTTTGCACGAGTGGGAGAAGTAGGCATGGCCACTCCCTTAAACCATCCTCACCGCCAGGACCCAGGACCACAGAAATAAGAGAGATGGCTCCCGGGGGGCATGGGAGGATGCCCAGCCTGGAAAAAGGGTTACTGGGATATGCCTCCAGGAGCCAAAGGGAGGTAGGGCTGCCCCTCTAGCAGGTTCCCTAGAGATGAAGGGGCCACCTTGAGCACTGTGCCCAAACCCCACACAGCACCATCATGGAGACAACCAGCAAAGGCCCCCAGCGATGGCTGGAGCCAGCCTGAAGCAGGGTAGGGTCTGCAGCACTTCCCACGGCCAACTTGGAGGAGGCTAACGAGGGAGCCTTCACCTCCCCGTCTCTCCTCCATGCCTGCAAACCCCACATGAGATACACTTGGAAAAGGGGGTAATCCCAGGACCAGACCCCACACACCCTCCTCAGTCTAAGAAAGCAGGGCCACAGCTCTAGCCTGCACTGAGGAAAGAGAAAAATTTGACCAAAAAGTTTGAAACCAAAGTAGATATTTCATTGTAGAGGGGGAAACTGAGGCACAGAGAGATGGAGTCACTTCCCAAGGTGTCCCAGGACACGGCAGAGCAGAGACACATGCCCTCAGCCGGGCCGTCCTGCCTCTGCCTTTCCTAGCAGCTGCTCTGACGCACACTAATGGCGAGGATGGTGAGGGCGACTGTGACAAATGACAAATCCCTCGTAGGCAGACGAGACTCAGTGAAGGCTTTCAAATGTTCGAAGCAACGAAGAGATAATGATTCTCCTAACCCTAAATATCATTAAAATTACAGACGAATCTCAGAGGGAAGGCTGGTGTGGGGAGAGATTAACCAAAGAATTTATGTGCTTATGTGCATAACCCATGGACACAGACAATCGTGCAGTGAAGGCCTGGGGGGGTGGGCGGCATGGAGGGGGTCAATGGGGGAAAAGGGGGGAACATCTGTAATACTTTCAACAGTAAAGATAAATTTTTTAAAATTATAGTACTCAGTGAAAATAAGTCACAAATTTTCCATGCATACTGAAATTGAAATAGCTTTTCTCTAGATATGACTGCAAAATTCTGGAGTTCACTCAAGCTAAAGCTGTTGCAATATTTTTTCCATGACCCTACTTGGCTGGCAGCTTCCCGGATCAGATGGGGTACCCCTCAACAGCCTTAGGGAGGGTTTAGAAAATCTCCAGTCACACTTTTAGGTCTCAGCTTATATGTCACTTCTTTTCTGTCACCCTCCTCCCCTCAATAAGATGAAGTGCTCTTGCTATCTGCTCCCATCATATCCCATATTTCTTTTTTTTATTAAATTTATTGGGGTGACAATGGTTAATATGTACATGTAGGTTTCC